AAAGCCCATTCTGACTTATGCTGCCTTAGTGTGGTGGAAAAAAGTGGAGCAGGCTACCACTCGGGCTTCTTTGGACAAACTTTATCGTCTGCGTCTATATTACGTGGGCCATGAAAACATGTCCTACATATGCCATTGGTGCTATTCTTCACATGCCACATTTGGATATTCTTAACAAAGATGAAGCCTGTAAATCGGCAATTCGCCTACCGGAAATCGCCAGTCTAAGAACAGGTGACCTGGAAGGGCATGTAGGTATATTCAAATTATTCATCAACGACCCGTATATCCGCGTCCATGATTGTGGGTCACCAAACTGAAAGGAACAAATAGGCCAATTAAACATGGTGGCAGCAAAATGCTGATCAAGTTTAGTTTACTGACGTGTCCAAACACATAGATGGTAATACTGGAGCAGGCATTTGTGGTCCTCTCACTCAAGGCCTTACTTTCGTATGAAGTTAGGTCGGGTGTTGTGATGGACTGTGTGTCCTCATTGAACGAACTGGGTAAACACAATAAATTAACAATATGTTGAGTACCCGGCCATGAAGATCATTCTGGAAACAAACGGGCCCACTTATCGCCCCTGAACCATTCTTTGGTATCCCTCAAGGTTACGTCAGGAATTTCCTCGCCACTGGGAACAATAGGTCTTAGACAGATAGAGCGCTTAATCACGCTATCAAGAAGAAAATCCCAGAAGTTGTTATAGCCTAACAAAAGTGATCTCAGAATACTAACGGGACTATTCACGCGACACTGTGGTCTCAGATATCATCAATTCATCCTAGGAAACGCCATATAAAAGCTATGTAGATTTTGTGGCTGTCAGGAGGAAACCTCAGAACACATATTGTGCAAATGTTCAACACTAAGGACTCGTCAAGAAAAAACTCTTAGGTGGTGCAACTCTAGTCCCGAAGGATATATTCAACCTCTCACCAATCAAATCTGTTATTTTCATTCGTGAATTAAACCGGTTATGGTGAACCTATGGGCTGCACAAAAGATACAAAACAGGGTCGCAGTGCCTAGGGTTCTCTTTAATCTAATATAGTTTTATAAAAAATTCACGATCAATTTTCCATTTTTAAAAAATTCATTAAGTTTTAGATCAATTCAATTCTATTAAAAAAATCAGTATTAATTATGTCTAGAAAATTTACGATTAATTTTCTCTTATAGGGAATTTACGATCAATTTTATACGTTTCGAAAATTCACAATCAAATTTTAAGTAAATTTATTTTCTGGTTTGAGATAATTTTTTTTCTTTTTTTCAAAAAATTATCGATCTCTTATATTTTGCGAAAATTTAAAATTTCAGAATCAATTTCCTATTTTTAGAAAATTTATTAAAAATTTTGTGTTTTTCGAAAATTTAAGATCAATTTTCTATTTTTACAAAATTTACTATTAATTTTCTCTTTTATAGAAAATTGTTAAACAATTTTCGTTTTTAGAAAATTTAAGAAAAATTTTCTATTTTTAGACAATTCACGATCAAAAAAATGATAAATTTTATATTTTTAGAATATACGATCAATTTCATCTCAGGATAAATCTACGATAAATTTTCTAAAAAATTAAATTTGCGCTAAACTTTAAAAAATGTTGATATTAATAACGAATATCCAGTTTCTTTGAAATTAAATTACAATCATATTCTCATATTACAGTTAGCAATTACAATTGTAAATTACTAATATTTCTATCATGAACAAATTGCATATTAGTACAAATTAACAAAAAAAAAAAAAATTACATATGAAATTTAAAAAAATCATTCCAATAATTGCAGCACTTTGGTAATGGGGACCCAGAGCAAGAACAAAATTATAAATATAACACGTTTTGTTAATGAATATTTATCATTCAAGTTTTAAGGTTCAAATAAAGTATTTCACACATCATAATTAAATACAAATGGAGAAAAAAGAAGAAAATATCCCATGGGCAATACAACAAAGAAACGTTTAGGTATGTTGCATATACTCTATCTGTTGGTTGTTAGTTGCTGCATAAAAGGCAAGTTGCTCTACTTGCAACTTGCTACAACATATGGCTATAATGAATCTATTATCTGCCGTTTAGATTTAGTTGAGGTTATTTTTATTTTTTTGCTTCTTGTGGTGTTTTTGTCTTAAAGGTGTTAAAATCGTTTATAACAAACTGGAGTTGAGTAGTCGTTGTCGTAGTACCATTGGCACTTTTTTCCCCAAAATTATTACTTCATTTTTATCTTGGTTTTTCTTTAGGTTTTTTGACTCTATTAAGATCACACATTGCAATTGTTTTGTTTTGGTTTTTTATGAATTGTCGAATTTTCAAAACAAACTGTAATGCAAGAATTTAAAAAAGAGTTAAAAAATGTATTTATAAATACAAAAGGTTAGAGATCAGTTAAACTAGATCAATGGTAAATTTTTTTGATATAATTGGATTACTTTCAACCAATTTCATTAATTTCTAGTTGAGAGTTTAAGGAAATTGAAATTTTTATTAAATTCAAGCTCAATTTTCTAATTTAAAAAAAAAAAAAAAATCACGATAAATTTTATAATTTTTGGAAAAATCCACGATCAGTTTTCTATTTTTATTAAATTCACTGTCAATTTTATATTTTTAAAAACTTCATAAAAGATTTTCAAATTTCTAAAAATCTTTGCATAAAATTTTTAATTTATGAAAAGCAAATTCACGAAAATTTTTCTAATTTTAAAAATTCACGATCAAATTTATATTTTTGGAAAAATGTTCAATCAAGTTTCTAATTTAAAAAAATTCAGCTTCAGTGCTCTATTCTTATAAAATTTACCAAAATATTTTGTTTTAGAACAGTTTACGATCAGTTAGCGAATTTGAAAAATTTTCACGATCAAATTTATATTTTTGAAAAATACGCGATCAAATATATATTTTTTAAAAGTTCACAATCAATTTTATATTTTTAGAAAATTCACAACCAATTATCTATTTTTTAGAAAATTAACAATCAATTTTATATTTAAAAAAAATGTACGATCAATTTTTTTCAATATGGAAAATTTACAATAAAGTTTTTTATTTCAAAAAATTTTCGAAAAATTTTTTATTATATAGAATCAATGATAAATTTTATATTTTTACAAAATTTACGATCACTTTTATTATTTAAAAAATTCAAGATCAATTTTCTATTTGAAGAAAATCACGACCAAGTTTTTATTTTTAGAAGAATCACAATGAATTTTTTCAATTTTTGAAAATGCTTCAAGATCTATTTTCTATTTGAAAACATCTCAATAAATTATGTATTAACAAAAAATTTATATTTTCAGAAAATTCACGATAAATTTTCCCTTTTTTAAATTCAAGAACAATTTTCTTTTTATTTTTTTTTAAATTCAGGATTAATTTGTCGATTATTCTATAGAAAGTTGTCGATCATTTTTCCAATCTATAGAAAATGATCGATAAGTTTTCTCTTTAATAGAAAACTAAAATTAATCTAACAAAAATTATCGATCACTTTCTCTTCTATTGTAGATCACTTTTTAAATTTTTAAACTTTTTCGAGATCTATTTTCTATAAGAAAAAATATCAATAAATTATATATTAACAAAAAAATTTTTATTTTCAGAAAATTCACGATCATTTTATTTCTTTTTTTTCTCAATTCACGATCAATTTTCTTGTTTTATATATATATTTTTTTTTAAATTCAGGATTAATTTGTCGATTATTCTATAGAAAATGGTCGATCACTTTTCTATTCTATAGAAAGTTTTTGATCACTTTCCAATCTATAGAAAATGATCGATAAGTTTTCGCTTTAATAGAAAATTGTCATTTAATCTCTTCTATTCTAACAAAAATTGTCGATCACTCTTCTCTTTTATTGTAGATCACTTTTTAATATTTGAAAATTCTTCGAGATAGAAAATTCACGATCAATTTTGTTTTTCTAAATCCGCGATAAATTTTCTTCTTTTTTTTTAATTCAGGACCAATTTATCGATTATTCTATAGAAATTGGTCGATCATTTTCTATTCTATAGAAAGTTGTTGATCACTTTTCCAATCTATAGAAAATGATTGATAAGTTTTTTCTGTAATAGAAAATTATCATTTAATCTCTTCTATTCTAACAAAAATTGTCGATCACTTTTCCATTCTATAGAAAATTATCATTTAATTCTTCATTCTAATGAAATTTATCTATCATTTTAGATCGATAGATTATTCTATAGAAAGTGGTCGGTCACTTATTCATAAATTATCAAAAATGTTTCTCTATAATAGAAAATTATCATTTAATCTCTTATTTTAACAAAACTTGTAGATCACATTTCTCTTCTATTGTAGATCACTTTGCCATTCTATAGAGTCATTTAATTATTTATTCTAATGAAATTTAGTGATAGATAAATCGATAGATTATTATATAGAAAATGGTCGATCAATTCTTTATTTTTTATAAAAATTTTCTCACTTTTCTATTCTATAGAAAGTTGTCGATCACTTTTCCATTATAAAGAAAATTATCAAAAAGCTTTCTCTTTAATAGAAAATTATCATATAATCTCTTATTCTAACAATAATTGTCGATCACTTTTCTCTTCTATTGTCAATCACCTTTCCTTTCTATAGAATAGAAAGAAAATTATTATTTAGTTCTTGATTCTAATGAAATTTATCGATCACTTTAGATCTTTAGATCTTTTACTCTTGTCTCATTGATCTCTAACATTATGACAGATATTTTCAAACAAACTATTATGAATGAATCGAAAAGAATTGAACGAAAAACAATAACAAAATGTTTTTATTAATATATTTTATTGTAATATAAGAGATTTTTACTTGCTAACCAAAAAAAAAAAACTATGAATGAGAGCTGTTTAAAATTCAAAACATTTCATATTAAGCATTCGATCCATCCGCTTCTTGTGTGTTTGCAACTAAACTTCGCTTGATTTAAGCTAGAGTATCTATCTACGTATCTCGTGTAGTATTTTTTTTATATTTTACGGCAGTATCTTAAAGATTCGTTTTAGTTTGTTTTGTAGTTTTTTACTCTTATAAAACTGAAGGTTTTCAGCGGCGCACCAACAGTCAAATTGCAACTACTGAACAATTCGGTCGGTCGCCCCCGGTTGGTTGATTTAAAGCGGTTAATTTGAAATAATAAATTTTCTAAATAATAATAATAAAAAGTAAGAAAATAACTACAACATAAGTAATTAAAAAATAATAAAAATAAATTATATTATGCGTCCGTAATAAATAATAAAATTTTTATTTAATTTTCAACCTAATTAAAAAAAATAATTTACACTTTTTAAAATAGATCACCAAAAACATAGTGTACCTGTTTAACTAATTTATTTCTTGTATCCGGTAGTCATTTAGTAACTGAAAATAAAAAACATAAAAATTGTTATAAAAAATTAAAAAAAATGCTTTCGGCTTAAAAAGTAAAAGTGACATTGTATGTAAAGAAAATTATGTTAAATCATTGATCTTGTCATTGTTAATTTACATGCTGTGATAACAAAGTGTTTTGGAAAATACCCTAAAGAAATGAAAAGAATTAAAAACAAAACTTCTTGTTTTCTATGCAAAACAATGTGTGGATTATGCATATGACTTTCAAAAAACCTTGAACTGTTTTATTTTTTATTAAAAAAGATAAAAAACAAGTGTATAAAATAAATAAACCAGGATACAAAATATAAAAACTGTGGAATTTTTTTATATTCTTGCAGTAAAAACCCACATTAACTTTAAAATAGTTTTAGATTATTTAAAAAAAAAATAACGTGCGTTTGTTGTTAAACTTAAATAAATTGTGAAAAAGATTAAAACCAATGTTAAGAAGAACTAATGAATGTCCTGTAACTTATGATTAATAACCAAACATTTTGTGAAATACATTATTTAGTAGTGGATAACCATTACCTAATTATTACACCAATTTGAATTGGTGTAATAAGTATATAGTCGGGCATGGTCGACCATATGATACCCTACACCATGAGTATATTTTAAAAATAAAATTTGTTATTCATAAAGATACTTTTATGTTGAATTTTACATTAATTCCATTGTATTTAATGAATTTATTGATGAAAAACCAATTCTTTAAAATAAACTTTATTTGGGAGTTAGGGTCAAATATGGGCTAGGTGAAATAATGGACTGTACGTTTCAAATTTTATCATAATATCTTGAAAAATATGCCCTTTAGCTTGAGCATAAGGTTTACATGGACAACCAGCCGGACGGACGTACATGTCTTATTTGAATCAGACATTGATTCTCAGTCGATCGGTATAGTTTGTGTATAGTGTAAGACCAACATTTTTGTGCGTTAGAAACATCAGCACGAACGCATAATAACCTCCCCATATACATATGTTCTTAATCCTTATTAATAATGAAGTCGATTTAGTTAAGTCCGTGTGTGTGTCTGTATGTGGCCTTCAGAGCAGATGTCTGCGACACGTTTTCGAGATAGATAGATAATAGATAGATAGATAGATAGATAGATAGATAGATAGATAGATAGATAGATAGATAGATAGATAGATAGATAGATAGATAGATCGATAGATAGATAGATAGAGATAGATAGATAGATAGCTAGCTAGATAGATAGATCGCTCTCTCGATAGATAGATAGACTATAGCTAGCCGCTCGATAGCTCGTCGCTCGCTCCCGCTCGCTCGCTCGCTCGCTCGCTACTCGCTCCTCGATAGCTCGCTCGCTCGTCTCGCTCGCTCGCTCGCTCGCTCTCTCTCGCTCGCTCGCTCGCTCGCTCGCTTCGCTCGCTCGCTCGCTCGCTCGCTCGCTCGCTCGCTCGCTCGTCTCGCTCGCTCGCTCGCTCGCTCGCTCGCTCGCTCGCTGCTCGCTGCTGCTCTCGCTCGCTCTCGCTCGCTCGCTCGCTCCTCGCTCGCTCGCTCGCTCGCTCGCTCGCTCGCTCGCTCGCTCGCTCGTGCTCTCCTCGCTCGCTCGCTCGCTCGCTCGCTCTCTCGCTCGCTCGCTCGCTCGCTCGCTCGCTCGCTCGCTCTCTCGCTGCTGCTCGCTCGCTCGTCTGCTCGCTGCTGCTGCTCGCTCGCTCGCTCGCTCGCTCGCTCGCTCGGCTCGCTCGCTCGCTCGCTCGCTCGCTCGCTCTCTCGCTCGCTCGCTCGCTTCGCTCGCTCTGCTCGCTCGCTCGCTCGCTCGCTCGCTCGCTCGCTCGCTCGCTCGCTCGCTCGCTCGCTCGCTGCTCGCTCGCTCGCTCGCTCGCTCCTCGCTCGCTCGCTCGCTCGCTCGCTCGCTCGCTCGCTCGCTCGCTCGCTCGCTCGCTCGCTCGCTCGCTCGCTCGCTCGCTCGCTCGCTCGCTCGCTCGCTCGCTCGCTCGCTCCTCGCTCGCTCGCTCGCTCGCTCGCTCCTCGCTCGCTCGCTCGCTCGCTCGCTCTCTCGCTCGCTCGCTCGCTCGCTCGCTCGCTCGCTCGCTCGCTCGCTCGCTCGCTCGCTCGCTCGCTCGCTCGCTCGCTCGCTCGCTCGCTCGCCGCTCGCTCGCTCGCTCGCTCGCTCGCTCGCTCGCTCGCTCGCTCGCTCGCTCGCTCGCTCGCTCGAGATAGATAGATAGATAGATAGATAGATAGATAAGGCAATATCGGTCCATTTAAAACGATTTTCATATTTTTTTGAAAAATTGGGATAACTCTGTTCTGCAAAAAATGGTTGATCCCTTTTAATTCTGTATCGATTTTAAAGTTTAAAAAAATATGTTGAAAATGACCAAATTAAAAATCGAGTTTTTAAAATCACAAATATAAGATTATAATTGATGTAGCATTTGAACGGATACAAAATTTTGGATTTTCGTGTCAAGTGACCCAACTCTCACAATCGATGTCTTCCGATTTGAATGAAATTTGTACCAATGATAGTACTATTGGATATTAGTCCAGACACAAATATTCAAAAAAATTATTAATAAAAAAATATATATATTTTTTTTTGGAAACAATGAAGAATTAATTATCTGAACACCTTTGGACAATTTTTGCTAGGTGAAAAGTTACACTTATTTGTAACTTTGACCCCCTCTAACTCCGCCCATATTCAAATAACAAAATTCCTTAAATATGGAAAATGTGTTCCAAAAATTGTAAAAAAATACGGGCCGTTTTATATGTTGCAACTTTGGATGCGTCTAATTTTTTACAATTTTACCAAAAAAATTGTTGCAACCCTCAGATCGCGAAAATTTGAATATCTTTTGTAACAAAAGGGATAACCCTAAAGCGTAGTTTTGTAGACTTTCTCAAGGAGCAGTTATATTTTAAATTGACTTTTTTTAACGATATATATAAAAATTGATACCCGAGGTGACCAACCTTGAGGGTTATTCACTGACCTCCATTTCGCCTGCGATCTCCTACAACTGTTAATCAACATGAAAACATAAGTCATGTGAAATTTCGTTACAATATCTCCAATAGTTCTAGAGTTACCGAATTATTTCCAAAAATAAAACTCTCTAAACCACTGTGCGTCTGTGGAAATTGGTCACAATTTCAATGATTATTCAGAAGTCTATTGGAAGTAAAAAGCGAAATGAAGACACAACACACGACATTTTCCTATTTGAGGTTCTAAACTATGTTTTAATTTGACGTTTACTTAAAAGCCTTTAGTAATTCATACAGGTTTACTTAGATCAGATTCTTTAATTAATTTCTGAAAAAATATATATATTTTTTTAATTTAAAATACAAAGTTTTCGCATTTTTATTGATTTTTTATCTGATTTAACGCTTAAACTTTAACTGTCTTGAATGTTTCTTAAAGTTTATAATATCAGCTGGAGTGTTGCTTAATATTGTTTAAAACAATTTGTCTTAAAAATGTTGTATTAAGTTTAAAAAAAAAAAATCAAGATGTTAGATAAACTACAAAAATAGCTGGTATTTAAACTAAATTTGTTTCTACCACAAATTTGTTAGAATAAGAATGGCTAATTATTTTGAAATATTTGGGCTGAACACATGCTGTAAAGTAAAGATAAACAGGGGACAGAGTTGTAAAATAATTAACTCTATAAACTGAAAAGTGATTAACACTGCGACAGAATGTAATAAAAGTGTGACCTTGAACTTGAATAAAAGATGTGGTATCGAGGGAGATATCGTTTCATTATCTCGTATTGAAAAAGTTACGAGATGTGAACATGTAATTCTTATTTTAATACATATTTTTTATATTATTTTTAATCTATTAATTCTTTTAATTTCTGTCATCATTTAAATAAAACAAATATTGAAAAATGAATATCCTAATTTAGTAAACCCAACAAAAAAAGCAACCCTAGCCATAAAACAAATATCACTTTAGATGAAAAACAATGGGATAAATAATAGACAATTCCAAACAAATGACTCCTAAACACGCCCACTTCTTGATGCAGTTTTCAAGACAACAACAATAATAGAAAAAAAGAACAACTGACATTTACACGATATGTAGAGCAATTTATTTGCCAAACTATTGTTTGAAAAAAATTCTTGTTAAAAACCCCAAGAAACTGAAAAAAAAACTAATAACAACAAAACGTTTATTTTAAAAAGGTGGGGCTGTAGGTATTAACGGATATTTGCGAACAAAAAAAAAAAAAAAAAAAAACACCAACAAAAGTGCAACAGTAAAAGAACAAATACTTAAATACTATTAAATAACAGAAAACTAAAACCAGTCGTTAGTTTTTTTGCAAACATTTAATAATAGAAAAGGTCAATTTAGCAAAAATAGTGATATAAACATTTTAATATTTTTTTCGCAAATATTTATGGAACCAATTACCACAGAAATAAACCAAACTTGTTTGTCTATTTGTTAAAGGTATGAATAATTTTAACATATAATTTTCTACCGGGCATTTTTGTTTTTTTTTTTTTTTTTTTTAATTCAGAATTTTATTTATTACATGAGTAAGAAAATAAAAAATATAGTGCAAAAACATGGATATAATTATTGCATTTACATTTTTAAGCACACATGAGGTACGTACGAGTTTCATGTACAAGACGAATGACGGCAGACTGTCTTATCAAGATTTTTTTGAAGTCATACTAATCAGGGCAACCAATAATATGCATAAATTCGATTGTTGACGTATCATATTTTTAGAGCACATTTTGCTATTTAAGTCGTATTCAAGCATTT